GTCCTTCGTTCTAGAGGCTGGGAACCTGGAGCCTGAGCCAGCGAGGGGCGAGCATCGATCGGACAGTCTGTTATCCGTATGCGGGTAGAAGGGTGGCAGCGGCGGTCGGTGGCTGCGGGAGCCCCCGGTGGGTGCTGTGGAAGGCGGGGTCCCCCTCGTACGCTGAGCCCTCCGGCGGGCCCCCTGCTTCCGCTCCAAGGATGTAGGTAGAGATGTTCCTACGTGGGCCTTCAGCACAGCGTTTACTTTTTAAAGTGAATGTTTGGAAACCGCTGAAATGCATCGGCAGGAGACGGCTCGGTGAGTACGGCCGTCGGCGAAGATTCGTTGAGGAGAATTACGTAGTATGACGTTAGATAAAAGCCGTCAGGGATAAGTCTGCATGGATAAGTCTGCATGGTTGTGTCAGCACAAGCGCACACATTGTGTGTCGCGTGTGTGTGCAGAGACTGACTTTGAACAGGGATTACCTCTGGTGGCGTCACAGGCAACTTTTCTGTTCTCTGTATTTTTCCGTATCTTCTGTAATAAGTGTGTGTTTTGACATCAGAGAAACTGCACTGTATGAAAGCAGCCACCTGGTCCCTGTCCATCATCACAGGTGGGGAAGCGAGACCCACGTGTTCGGTAAGCAGTCACCCACGGAGGCCACTGTAGAAAGTGCTCTGTGACCTGTAGTTGAGTGAAGACAGGTGACCCGGACCCACAGGCTCTCAGTTATCTGGTACGTGGGAGAGCCTCTACAAGCCTTCACTCTCTGGTCACCCCACTTCTTGTCCTGTGTGTGCACCCCTTACTTAGGGGAGGGCTGGGACGGGAGTCCCACTCTGGCAAGGGGGCTGCGAGGAGATTGTGCGCAGGGCAGGTGTCACACAGCCTGCTCTGGGACCCTCCCATGAAAAAAGGTGGGTGACAGTCCCCGCCCTGAGACCTGGATTTCTTGGGGAGGAGAGCCCCGACCCGCAGAAGCCTTACTTAGAACACAGCGACAGGCTCGCTTTCCATGGTGCCTGTAAAAAAAAAAAAAAGAAAGGAAAAAAAAAACCAGCAAAACTTCCCAGTTGCCGTGACCCAGTCGCTCATACAGGAAGTCGGTTACTCATTCACTATGTTTCCCTTTCACTGATGGAGACGTGGCTCTAAAAATGGAATTTCTGAGCACGTGCGCTGAGTTACCAGCAGCAGTTCTGCAAACACTCATTGCCTGCGTTACCAGCTCCGGCTTACATGCTGGGGCTCCCCTGCCCTTGAAACGCGCTCTGGTCCGTGGTGCGACTCGTGGGTGCGTCGGGTCGGTGGTGGGCCAGGGACTGTGCTTGCCTCGGACCCGCCATTTCCCTCCCCCTGCTGAGGTCCCGTCCTGCGGTGACCATCCAGTGTTCCTGGATGAGGAAGGAGGGGTTGCCTTCCTATTCCCAAGGGTTTCGCCCCCCAGAGCAGCAGTCCGATGGCACGGACACAGTGGAAACACATTCCCAGCAGAGCCGTGTGCCGCGTGGCCAGGTGGGAGAGGGGGTGCACCTGCTGGGGCCGTGGGGCGGGGGCAGATGCAGGCCTGGGCGTCAGGCAGAGCTTTGAGCAGAGGGAAGCGGCGTGTCTGGGGTGGGGGGGAGAAGATGGGAGCACCTGGGGGGTGGGTAGGATTGCTGGGCCCGGCAAGGGTGGCGGTGTCGGCCCAGCTGGAGAGGACCTGGGGTCTTACCGCAGGGTCGGGTTTTGGGGCGAAGTCCCCACTGAGTCTCTCAGGGGCATCTTCTCTGGTGAAGCCCCCCAGATCCTCCTCGTGGGCTGTCCTGTATTCAGCAGATGTTGATGGTCCCTGAGGGGGGGAGGCTGAGCTGAGAACCATCCCCCATCTCCGCAGCACATGATGGCCAAGCTTGGGGGCAGTGGGCTTGGGGCATGGAGCGCCCCTCCCCGTTGCTCCCCGGTGTCTCAGCTTCTCTGTTCCTCCTGCGGCACGGGAGAGCGGGAAGGGTGCATGTGGCGAGTTGCTCTCTAGGCGACACTGGAATTAATTTTCCGAGTCATCTGTGTTGACCGTGAAGAAGGTGTGTGTGCTGGTCAGCATTTGGTTTTCATCTCAGAATATCATCTTCCCCTGGGGCCAAGAGCTGACACCCACGAGAGCGCCCCCGCCCGCCCGCCGCTCTGTCCCTTTTCCCGCGCTGCGCTGCCGCGTGGCCTGTGTGAGGTCCCCTCCGGGTCCCAGTCCTGCTTGTCTTAGCATTTTACCACTTCGGGATTGACTCTCCGTGAGGCATGAGTCCCAGATCTCCCCGAGGGCGAGGCTGGACCAGAGTCTTTATCCTCCTGTTAGGAGCATTTCCTTGGGGGGGGGGGGGCTGAAGCTGCCGGGACGGCCCCCTGCTCTGCTTGGGGCACGGTCAGGGCTTCGCTCGTGGTCGTGTACTCCGCACACCGGCCCAGAGCTCTCAGGATTTTCGGGTTAAAAGCTAGAAGCAAGGAAGAAATAGCTAGTGAAGTCACGTATTCCATGAACGTGTCGCCATTGTGTTTTCCTGCGGCTTTCATTGACACGGGTTAGTGACCCGGGCCATGGGCAGGTTCCCTTGTTTCCCGCGGCAGTTTTCTGGAAGTGGTGGCTATCACGGAGACAGGAGAAATGGGCTCAGCCAGAGAAATGGGCTGCAGGCACGTCTGTGGCAGTGGTTAGATTTTAGGACGGTAAACTCATCCCCATCTAGCTGGGGACAGATGGCTGCTGAGGGGCGGAAGGAAGCCTTGCTTCAGAAACGGGCACCCCAGCTCGCTGTTCCTCTCTGAGCCTTGGACGGCTTCCCTTTTCAGAGGCAACATCTTGGCTCCGTAGCTGTGATGCACAGTCAAGAAACATGTGAAAAGCACCGTGTAAACTGGAAAGCCCTTATTCGGTGTGGCTGGTGCTCTGGTTCCTGAAATGGGCCGTGTCTCTGTGGCTGGGCATTTCCTGGGGCACAGTTGTCAACTCGTGCGGTTCCACTGTGTTTCTGCGTTCTCAAGATGCGTCGTGTAGGTTAGGCTTCTGCCTAGGAGCAGGGACGGCGTGTGGGCAGACGGTGCAGTCCGCTCCTGGGCAGGGGCAGGGCCTGTGGGATCGCACGTAGCCTGTGCTTCCGAGGAGCAGACCCGCCCAGTCCTTCGCCCCGTGCATTCCCACGCTGCCTGGGAGGGGTCCCGGGGGCTGCCTGGGAGCACCGTTTATTTTTGTATCCTTCATCCTGGACGTTACCTAGCGCGGAAGGGGCACACGCGAGCTTGTTGAAGGGCTATGTGTGGTGTGCGAGTCCGTAAATATGGCATCTACGTCAGAGTTGCTCAGTGAGACAGACCTGAAGGGTTCCAGGTGGCACAACTCAGTGAGATTAATAACCTTTGAAGCATGTTTGTTTTCTCGTAGAAAGAAAACAAAACAAAAAGAGTAACTGAAGGGCTCTGAGTTTTTCTAGGTCAGAAATGCAGTAAAAACAGCTTAAATTATTCTTAGTAGCATACTTTTGTTTCCGGTAAATGTCAGCAGGGATTGAAGTACGTGGGATTTTTTCTTTCTTTCTTTCTTTTTTTTTTAATGAGGAGGATTTAAAAAAAAGACAAGCAAAAATTAAGAGTATTCTGTTATTGGAAAAATATTTAGTTGATTTCTTTTCCTAAGCCGCAGTTTGAACTTTACTAGAATTAGTGAAAATTTGCATTGGGGTGAAGTTTCTGTACTGTCTGTAGGGGAGGAGTACGCTCCTTGCTTAAGTGAATGACTTACCCGGCATGCGGGGGGGCCACCAGCGTGGGGTTCTTGGCCCCTTCAATTCTGTATGCATCATACCCCTTTGGCCTTGTCTCCTGAGAATTCGCACGGTCCCGTTTTCCCGGTCTCTGTCACATGCACAGACAGGGCAGCGATGTACAGACACGCACATGAGCAGTGAGTCGCTGCGGTGCATTTGAAGTCAAGAAGTGGCTTGACGTTGAGGCCCCTCCTTTGTGGAAATGTGCTGTTGGTCTGCGGAGAAGGGGGTGCGTTGTGGTTCCAGGGACAGGAGAGGTGGTGTGGGTAGTCACCTGAGCACAGCTGTCTGGAGCCCCTGGAGTGGGGGCTGGGGATAGGAAGTGGTGCCCCAGGCGAGCCGTGGCAGGGTGCCTGCGTGAGCCCCGCTGTGGGGAAGGCTCGGGTTTCTTGACTCTGGACGTTGCAGAAATCCTCGTCCCTGACTCTGGTGGTTCATGGTCAGGGACCCTGTCTGAGAGGCCTCCGCAGCCTTGCCTCACCTGTCTGAGCCTCAGTCTCCATAGTTACAACCGGAAGGAGGTTGACCAGATGTTTCTGGGCTCGTCTGGTCCATCGAGTGCTCTTAGACTCTAGGGCATGAAGGTGACCTTGCTCAAGTTGCCCGGGTCCGGCCGGGGAGACCGCCAAGTGGGCTTACAGCGCAGTGTAACGCGCGTGTCCTGGCGCTGTGAACACAGCAAGCCAGAGACAGGAGTAAGGGCCGTGACGAGTGAAGGCTGGTGCCCGGGATTGAGGAGGTCTGGGGGTGGCAGACGACAAGGCTGAGGCTGGACGGTGCTCGCCGGACGGCTGACAGTTGGAGCCTTGTCTGGGGCCAGCCACGGAGGCATGGGGACAGGGATGGCCTGGAGTGTAGAAAGTGGGTCAGCAGGGGGTGGGGGGTGCCTGGAAGTCAAGACCCCGTTAGGAAGCTTCCCTCACTGCCTGTGCACGGTGAAACGGGGCCTCGAGGGACAGAGGGTCCCTTGGGCCTGGCAGTTGAGGATGGGGCTTCTCTGGTGACGCAGACCTGGAGAGGGGTAGGGGCGGGAGAGGCAGGTTTTCCACGGAAACGTGGGAGCACAGGGAGGAGGAGGAAGGAACGCGTGTGTGGGGGGTGGCGTGTGACAGCGGGTCCGCGGGAGCTGGGAAGGGCGGGCCGCACGGTGGAGGCGGCGCACGAGCTCCGGGAAAGCCGCTGCTCCCTGGGTAACCCGCGTTCTCTTGGCCCTTCCAGTGCTCGCGCCTCCCGCGCCGCCGCCGCCGCCCATCCAAGGATATGCCTTCAAGCCTCCGCCTAGACCCGACTTCGGGACCTCCGGGAGAACAATCAAGTTACAGGCCAACTTCTTTGAAATGGACATTCCAAAAATTGACATCTATCATTACGAATTGGACATCAAGCCGGAGAAATGCCCAAGGAGAGTGAACAGGTATCTGTTGCTTCGCCCTTTACCGCTCGTGACTGATGTGCGTGGCTCTCCCTGCACACGGCAGGCCCTTCCCCGGAGCTTTCTGGTAATGTCTCGTGTATTTCATCGCATCTTGATACAGTTTAAGGGTGTAGGTCCTTGTTTGGACAAGCTCCTGTGCCCGCCCGTCAGCTGAGAACGTCTCCTCGTGCCCTCTGAATCAGTCCCAGCCCCGAGCCCCGTGCTCTGACCTGTGTCACCGTTGATCTGTTCCCTGCTGGGGGGAGGGGCCGGGACACAGAGGAGTCGCACAGCCTGTGAGGTGGCCTCCCCCACCTGCTCCTTCCACCAGCCGTGACGTCGTTGAGACGGACTCGTATTGTTGTGTGTATCAGTAGCCGAGGACGGTTTCATGATACGAGTATTTCATAGTTTCGTCATCCTCTTGTTGGATGCTTGGGCTGTCTGGGCTTTGCCATCATGAACAAAGCTGTTGAAGTCTTTTGTGGGGACACACGTTTTTGTTTCTCTTGGATGCAGGAGTGAAGTTGCCGGGACACAGGGGAGGTGCAGGCTTAGCGGCGTGAGAAACCGCGAAAGAGCTGTCCTGAGGGACAGCTGGGCCTTGTTCTCCCACCGTCCGGGCAAGGTTCTGGTTGTCCCGTGTCCTCAGTGTGTGGGACGGTCAGTCTTTGGGAGTTTTGAGGTTTCAGTGGTGTCTCATGGTTTCTCTTTGTGGTTTCAATTTCCATGTCCTGAGAGTGAGTTGAGCACTTTTCCTGTGCTCGTAGCTGTAATTCCGTTACATTTGCACATCACGTAGTATTTCTTTTTCTTTTCTTTTCTTTCTTTCTTTCTTTTTTTTAAAGATTTTATTTATTTATTTATTTGACAGACAGAGATCACAAGTAGGCAGAGAGGCAGACAGAGAGAGGGGAGGAAGCAGGCTCCCCGCTGAGCAGAGAGCCTGATGCGGGGCTCAATCCCAGCACCCTGGGACCATGACCTGAGCCGAAGGCAGAGGCTTAACCCACTGAGCCCCCCAGGTGCCCCTCTTTTTCTTTTTCTTTTTTTTTTTTTTAAGATTTTTATTTATTTATTAGAAAGAGAGCGAGAACATGAGTTGGGGGGCAGGGGCAGAGGGAGAAGCAGACTCCCTGCTGAGCAGGGAGTCCATCGCAGGACTCGATCCCAGGACTCCAGGATCCTGACCTTAACCGAAGACAGACGCCTCACCGACTGAGCCCCCCAGGTGCCCATCACATAGTATTTTCTAACAAAGTGTCTGTTAAAGCCCCTTCCTGCCTTGCGTCTTTGTTACTGGTCTGTTGGAGTCGGTAATATACTTGAGGTACAGGTCAGTGTTGGGCATGTTTCTGCCTGGTTTGAGGCTTGCCGTGGCAGTAAGTGGTGTCTCTTAATGAGCAGATTTTTATAATTTTGTTGACATCCAAGCTATAAAATGTTGAAAATTGTTATGATATTGTGTGTTCTCTCCAGGAAATCTTTGTCTGTCTGAAGAGAGCAAGGTATTCTTTTTTAAGAAGATTTTAAGAAGATTTTGGGTATATATATACACACACACATATATATGATTTCATTTATTATACATATGACTTATATATGTGTGTGTGTGTATATGATTTTATTTGAGAGAGCACACGAGTGTGCGACACTGTGCGAGAGTGCGCTCAGGCAGGGGGAGGAGCAGAGACAGAATTTCAAGCCGACTCTGGTTTGAGCTCAGGGCCTGACGCGGAGCTCGAGCTCATGACCCGTGAGATCATGGCCTGAGCCGAAACCAAGAGTTGGTGGCTTGACCTCCTGAGCCCCCAGGTGCCCTGGGCCGGTGTTTCTGTTCAGGCCTGTGGCCCATCTTGGACAAATGCTCGTGTGCTGGGAGGTTAGGGTCTGTTGAGAAGACTTTTCTTTCCCCATCGACTTACCTGGGTGCCTTTGGGGGAGAGGGTGACTCGGTTGATTTTCCCTGCTACCAGGAAGGCCCCCGGAATACTTTCTTGCGGTGGCTTTGAAAGTACAGATCAGTTAGGGAAAGCGGACGCCGTAGAATCTTCTGGTCCAAACATGGGGCTGCTGTCCCCATTGACTGGATCTACTTGAATTTCTTGCGGGACTTAATCTTCCTGTTCATCACAGACACCTTTCAGTTTATGCACTCTTAAGTTCCTTGTATTCTTTGATGTTAATATAAGTCGTATTCTAAATTTTCATTGTCCAGGAAGGAAGTTTTTCAGGAGTGACTGCTAACGAGTGATGACAAGTTTTCTAAACTCAGGCTGTGGTTCTCTAAGGGGGACAACCCCGTGAATATACCAAAACCATTTAGTTGTGCACTTTAAAGATGTTAAAGAGTTTTTCATTATTTTTTTAACAAAGGTCGTTTTCTTTCTTTCCAGTTTCTAATGCACGTTACTTATTTTTTTACTTTATTGCAGTGTCTAAGAAACCCAGTGTAAATAACATTGGATATATGTGGTAAAAACAGACATCCTTGCCTTGTTTTCACTCCTATGGGGGAATCATTCATGCCTGCACCTACAAAATATTCTGTTGGTTGTAGGATTTTCTTAGAGCCCCTTTAATAGGCTGAGGGAATTCTCTCCCTGATTTGCTGAGAAATGTCCTCATCATTAGGTTTTGAGTTCTGCCAAATGCTTTTTCTGCATCTGTTGGCATAATCAGGTAGTTTTTCTTCTTTTTTTTCCCCCCACCTCCTGTTTTATTTTTAAAGATTTATTTATTTGGGGGGTGGTGGAGGTAAGAGGGAGAGAGCATCTCAAGCAGACTCCATGCTGAGCACAGAGCCTGACGTGGGGCTTGATCCCACGACCCTGATGTCACGACCTGAGTCCAAACCAAGAGTTGGATGCTCAACCCACTGAGCCACCCAGGGGCCCCTTCCCATCTGCTATTAGGGAGGTATATTACACTGATTTTTTTTGTGTGTTGAATTAGCATGAATTTCTGTGAGTCATGATGTATTATTTTACCCACATCTTTTAGTCACAATTAGTTATTTTTATATATTACCAGACTTAATTTGTTAGCATTTTTTTTGGTCAATTTTTGTGTTTCTACTTCCGAGGAAATATTGACCTGTACTTCTCTTCTTAGGTTTTGATAGTAGGGGCTTGAGGCATTTTCCCGCAGGCTGGGAGGTGCTCCATCCTCCTCCAGATTCTGAAAGAGGAACTTAAAAGATGGGTGTAATTTCTTTCTTGAATGTGTGACTGAATTTGTCACTGAAATGACTCAGACCTTGACTTTTCTTGCTACTGTTTAATTTCTTTATCAGATACCGGGCTGTTCAGAATTTCCTGTCTCTTTTTGTGTCAGTCAGTTTGGTGGTTTGCATCTCTCAAGGAATCCCGTTCGTGTGCATTGTTGAGTTGACCGTCGAAAACGGTTCCTAGTGTCCCTTTCACGTGTGTGGGACCCACCAAGCAAACCCTGTTTGTGTCTTCTCTTTCCTTCATCGGTTTTGCGACGGGGTTGTCAATCACAGCCTTCTTTTCATAGAAACGGCTTTTTACTTTGATTTTTCTCTTTTGTGGATGCCCCCCGTCTGTTTTCTTTTCTCTGATCTTTATTCATTTTGAGGTTAGATCATCAAATTTCAACCTTCTTTCTTTTCCAGTCCATTTGTTTAAGGCTGTAGGTTTCCCTCTGTGCCTGGTTTTAGCTACAGCCCACCAGTTTTGATACATTTTAATTTTCATTCAAAGTATTCTCTCATTTTCCCTGTGAATTTCCTTTAATCCATGTTTTTTTGTTTTTAGAAATGTGTTCAAATTTTGGGGCACCTGGGTGGCTCAGTGGGTTAAGCCTCTGCGGCTCAGGTCATGATCTCAGGGTCCTGGGATCGAGCCCCACATCGAGCTCTCTGCTCAGCTGGGAGCCTGCTTCCCTTCCTCTCTCTGTCTCTGCCTGCCTCTCTGCCTGCTTGTCATCTCCCTCTGTCAAATAAATAAAAAATAAATAAAATTAAAAAAAAAAAGAAAGAAATGTGTTCAAATTTTAACTCTTCGGGGATTTTTTTTGATACCCTGTTGTCTTTGATTGCTAATTTAATTCTTTTATGGTTAAGACCATTCTCTTTAAGATTTGATTCTTTTGAAATGTATCTTAGGGCTCAGCATATGGTTGATCTTAAGTGTTGTTCAGACGCTGGAAAAGAAAGTGTCTCCTGAGTTTGGTGGGTCTGGGAATTTACGGCGAGTAGCCGGCGTCAGTGGTGCCGTCCCAATCCTTCACGCCCATTGTCATGGTTCTGTCCTGCTGTGACGCCGCATGGTCTGTCCCGCCCTTCCATACCGTTCTGATTTCATGTGTTTCGAAGCTCTCCTACCAGATACACACATTTATAGCTTTTTGTCTTCCATGATAAATTGACCCCTTTATCACTAGGACGTATTCTCCGTATATTGTAACTCTTCTGGTTTAAAAAGCCTTTTCTTGGGGCGCCTGGGGGGCTCAGTGGGTTAAGCCTCTGCCTTTGGCTCAGGTCATGATCCCAGGGTCCTGGATCGAGCCCTGCGTCAGGCTCTCTGCTCAGCGGGGAGCCTGCTCCCCCCCCATTCCCCCCTGCCCCCCCATCTGTTGTTCTGTCTACTTGTGGTCTCTGTCAAATAAATAAGTAAAATATTAAAATAAATAAATAAATAAAATAAGCCTTTTCTGCCTGGTTATCAGTACAGTCACAACCATTCCTAGCTTACTGTTTAGCTGGGGTGTAGCCTGTATGTACTTCCCCTGTCTACCTGTGTGTGTGTTTCAAGTATGTCCATTGTAGACAGCACAGGGACTTACTCTATTTCCGGATTTTAATGGGCGTGTTCAATTTGCGTAAATAAAATGTAAATGTACATTTAGTTATCTACAGTTGAGAGCCACCGTCCCACTGTTTTTTATTCTTTATTCTTGTTTCTCTTTTCCCTTCTCCCTTTGGGCTCATCAGACGTTCTTTATTCCATTGATTCCCTCGGCTAGTTTGTGCCTTT